GGAGGCGGCTGTGCCCGGGAGGGGCAGAGCCGGGGCCGCGGCCGCCGGAGCCCGGCACGGAGCCGGGGCCGCTCCCGCCGGGGCTCTCCGGGCCGGCCTGGGGCTCCGGGCACATCTTTCCGCGTCCACCCCACGGAAAGAGGCCTTCACGGGCCCGACCCCACGCGAACTGCTCGCACTTGTTGGTCTGGCGTTGGGGCTGATACGGCTAGCTTGGTTCATTTCTTTTTTCTTCCCCTTTCCAATCCCCCCTCCCCGACTCCGACCCCAGCAACAATGCACGGCACGCTTCAGTTCCTGCAAAGCGTCAGCTCTAGAGGGAGGCACAACCGGGAGCAGTTATTGTTCTGTTTTTATTTTAATCACGTAATTGGTTAAAATTTGTAAACGTGCGGAAACTGCAGCAAAGCTGTGAAGTAAACATTTTACTGCATGAATTTGCATAAATACACCAGTACCCCTAGTGTCCAGGAAGGATGTGGGTCTGGTCGCGGCGATTTTAAGGAGACTCAGTCTTCTGAAACGGAAAATAGAAACGCATTTCAAAATAATATCCACCATCCGCGGCACAGACGCGTTCGGTCACCACGCACAAAATAAGCATCTCTTTTCTGCTGCCTTTATGGCCAAGGCTTAGTGAATCAGAATAATACGGGGCTGCCCCTGTTACAGAGAAAGCCATTTTGATTCTGCCTCCTGCAAATCCTAGCGAGGTGGTTGCTGCCTGCACTGACAAAACATAACGGAGACGTATACATCCGAATGAAGAATTTCCTAGGCCAATATTTGTTTGGCAGTGAGCTGCTGCCATAGTTGCTTTTACTTTTCAAACAAAGAGAATAAAAATAAAATATTCCTGATGAACTTTCCGTTAGCGTTGCTTTCCCAGGGCGGACTGGGAACCCGGCCACATAGAAACAGACTAAATCCCTTGTGCGCACAGCATTTGCAAAGGCCTACTAACAACGAGAGTGTCCATATCTTATTTCTTCAGCTAAAAAGCTGTCTTTCTCTGTACTTATTACGATATTTCCCTCCTGGCAGCTGTATTTATCCCTCGTTTCTAGTTGGAGTCCTGCTAAGAAAAAGAGAAGGGAGGCAGGAATTGGCCCGAGCGGTTAGTGATCCCTCCCGTAAAATTGGGGCCATCTAGCTACGGAGCAAGCCGCGCTACTTGGGAAGGGAAATGCTGGAGATGCACGAGGCGCTGCAGCAGCGGTGAAGAGAAGCCGCGGCTTAATGCCGCAGCTTAGACATACGGCACTTTTGGTTTCCGTGAAATATTTCCTTTCCCACGTTGTCCAGCTCTGCCTGGCCGTATGTATTACAAAGTCACCGTGAAAAATCGCTATGTCTTTGCCAAAGGACTTATTGCACTTCTATGTTTTTCACTAATGTCAAACTCGCTTTGGTGATGTGTTAAAAAAAAAAAAAAGCTTTGGGAATGCTAGTTTTTGTTAGCTCTGTTTTCCAGGCAGGTACTATCGACAAGAAGGCTCCTGACAGAGAGGTCCTGCTATTCTCTGAAACAAAAATTGAGCGAGAAACACCCACAGTTCTCAATCTGGGAGCCGAGCATTCCCTATGGACACGGGGGAGGTTTTAGCCATTTCGAATATTTTCTGAGGAGCAAAATTCACCTATTTGATTGCTCCGTCCAGGTCCAAAGGGCGTGAGGAAAAGTGCATGTGAGGTGGAGGCAGTCGCCAGCCCCGGAAGGGTGCAGGGGCCCCCGCTCAATGACAGCGCCCCGAGCAACCTGTGGGAACGGCAACCTTCCCGCTAGGGAAAAGGCATTAATCCGGCGCGGGCTATTTTTAGGTCAGCGACGACTTCGGCTTCAGTAGTGGGCGCTAAAGCAAATACAATTTCTTTTATGACCGTAGCATGTGAGGGGGGCAGAAAGATGGACTAAAGCCCCCCTTTCTTTGCGGCAAGGACATGGACCCCGGAGGCAATGCGGCGGGGCCGAGAGCGCGGGGAGCCCCCGCT